ATGTGTCTATTTTTATTCCAGTACCATGCTGTTTTGATTACTATAGCTTTGCATTATAGTTTGAATAAGGAAGTGTGATGCCTCTGGCTTGGTTACTTCTCAGAATTGCTTTGGCTCCTCAGGGTCATTTATGGTTCCATAAATATCTTAGGATTCTTGTTTCTATTTCTGTGAAAAATGCCACTGGAATTTTTACAGGAATTGCATTGAATCTATAGATGGCTTTGGGTAGAATGGACGTTTTAATATTAATTCTTCTGACTGATGAGCACAGGATATTTTTCCATTTGTTTGTGTTTTCTTCCATTTCTTTTGTCAAAATCTTGTAGTTTTCATTGCTTGGATCTTTTCCTTCCTTGGTTAAATGTATTCCTGAGTATTTTCTTGTTCTTGATGCTATTGTGAATGGGTGTGGTTTCTTTATTTCTTTTTCAGGTATTTCATTGTTGCTGTACAGAAACTCAACTGATTTCTGAACACTGATTCTGTATCCTGCAACTTTATTGAATTTGTTGACTAGTTCCAACTGTGTTTTGGTGTCGTCTCTAGGATTTTCTGTATATAAGATCATGTCATCTGCAAATAAAGACAACTCCACTTCTTCCTTTCCGATTGGATGTCTTTCATTTTTGCCTGACTGCGCTACCTAGGACTTCCAATACTATGCTGACTAGGAGTACTGAGCGTGGGCATTGTGTCTTGTCCTGACTTTAGGGGAAACGCTTTCAACCCTTCACCACTGAGTATGATGTCATCTGTGGGTTTGTCATCTATGGCCTTCATTATGTTGAGGTGTGTATGTTTCTTTCAGACCCAATTTGTTTTTTTAAATCATGAAAGGATGTTCCCCTTGAAAGAGAGTTCCATCTTGGAAAACATCATGGTTCTGGTGGAGTCCGGGAAGCTCTCCCTCACCCTGGGTATTCCTGGTATCTGAGAATCTCTGTTGCCTTCTGGGGGGTGAGGCAATCCTACAGGGATACCCACCACATCTGGCTCATGTGGAGACATGCACATAAAGGCTGGTTTCCCTAGAAGTCTGTTCAGACTCTATGGATCTCAAAAAAAAAAAACCCACACACTAAAATTAACATGGGAAATCATGCCTTCAAGGCCAACAAGCCCCATGACAGTCAACCTTCCATTAATTCTAAAGTGACTTCTAGATTAATCTTTTTGTACGCACCATAAAAAACTATAAAATTAGGAAAACATATTTAATTGGTCTCTCGAAGCGTTAAGAGAAAGATTTAGATGAATAGATCAACCAATGATGTTGTTAGGTGTCAACCCAATTCTTTGAGGTATTAAAAATGGCTGTCCTTATGTTAAAAGGGGATGATCATTTGGAACTTGACTTGTCAAGGAAAGATATAAGTTGTAAATGCCTCCAATACAAAAAGTGGATCCAACTGTTCTTTCATAAACTAATGTTAGTTTTTCTCATGGATAAAAGACATGTTTCTGTTTGTTTGTCTGTATGTGCCTACGTATGCATGTTGTAAATGTAAGGTAATTTTCAACTTCTGCTGCTATTGTTAAAATTAACGGGAAGGCCAGCACTGGTAAGAATTGGGTATTCTAAAATTCTCAGAAATATAGAAACTAACTCAAATGCTTTTCAAGTTCACAACTTTAGACTGATTTTTTACTAAATAAAAGCTATTTTAAATTTGTTGGTTCAAGAACAGACATGTCTTTTGAATCGTTAATTAAATATTTCTATTTCACCCGAGTTTATAAAAATAAGTCCATGTCAATAACTGACTCTGATGTCAATGGAATATGCTTCTAGAGGTTATAAAATATCTTCACAAATTTGCCAAGCTAAAGAATGCTAGTTGTTTACTTCTTAGTTTTCATTGGACATTGAGATTTTAGGGTTAAAATCTCAATATATGTAGGAATAAATTTGCAGCTAGAAGAGCCCCTGGAATACCTCCAAGTTTTATTTTTTATGTTAAATTACATGGAAATCATAGTACAACAAGTGATAGAAAACTACCAGGGTATGTTGTATGGGTGAATAATGGTTGTCAATTAAATGAATAGTCAGGGTTACTGGAAACCCAAAATAGCTGCTTGGTCCTTCCCAGGCTCGCTGGCAAACCCCATTTTCTTTTAAGATGGACTTAGGTGAAGTAACTTATGAGTTGGCATTATTCAAAGGAGCCATCTTAGCTATTATCAAGGTTTGATAAAGTCACTTCAAGAAAATGTCAAATGGGTAGCCACTTCCTTTCACAGTGAACTCCCAGGAGACACAGACTTAGAGTTCACTGATTGCTACCTGGAGATTTTGTTTATTGGAAAGGACAAATATGAAAGACACTCTGCAACTTCATTGGAAGGACTTATCAGGTGCCTAACTGTGAATGAACATCTAGCCTTGTCTCTGCTATGCGCCTCCGCCTACAACAGTCATCCGAGACTCCTTGAGGACGAGAAGCTGCCAACATCAGAGTTAGACAGCTGTCCCAAGACATCGACAAGGCCTGTATACCTACAGATTGATGTTTAGCACAGAAAACAATTGATTGTCTTTACCAGTTTGCTAAGAACATTAGTCCTAATAATAGTTATACTTGTTTTGGGGGTTTTTCATTATAGTTCAACTGTTCCTGATGACTGAACATGTATAAAATAACTTAATACTCTCTTTCATGGCTTATATAAATGTCATACGAGGTACCAAATACAGAAAAAAAAAATGAGACAGAAGACAAAACTCAAACCATGACAGTTCACAAGACAGAAATGATCCAATGGCCTTCAGAGTGAAAGCCATAGGACCCAAAAGCCTTCGGTTTACCTGCCCTTCCCTTTTGGGGAAAAGTTCAGCCTCACATCTCATGGTAATAGCATTGCCCCATCCCCAATGGTCCACCATTTCAACAAGACAACATTAATACTGAGCCTTCCTAGAACTGAGCCTTCCTAGCCCTGTGAGACCACCTTGTCCAACTTAAGGTTGGTCATCAATGCATCCTTCAGACTGATTTATAATCGAAAGGGGGAATTGTGAGAGGTAAAGGGGTTCTACAGAAAGTATCCTCACACAGTGATCTGACCATAAATTCCTAACTGGTAGGTCATGGTGGGTAGTAACACTGTAGGCCTCTAACTTCTTTTTTCTTTTTTATTAAATGTCTTGGGGTGACAGTGGTTAATAAAACCCTACAGGTTTCAAGTATACAACTCAATAACACATCATCTGCCCACTGCACTGTGAACTCATCACCCAAAGTCAAATCTCTTTCCGCCATCATTGATCCCCTCGCTGCCCTCTTCTTCAGTGAAAGGTTTTAAGCCAGCCCTGTTCATTGTTCTTGTGCACCTACCTTAGCACACCTTCGAAATAACAAAAGTAATTACCACCCTCAAAAGAGTACATAATCTTATTAACTATTCTGTAATCCGATCCCCACCTTGCTTTCTCTAATCTTCCCTGGGTTCCCTCCTTAATTTCAAATGCATAAAAGAAGCTGCAAAACGATTATCTCAGGAGTGTTTGAGATCTTGCTTCCCGGCAGCTGTCATCAGTTTCGCTCAAATAAACCCTTATTAAAAATTCTCTACAGGTTTGGACGTTTCTTACGACAGCTTCTTCAACTAAAGAGATATTTAGTGTGTTCATAGTATGAGTGTTCTAGGAAGAGGATTAAGGTACACTGCAAAATGTCTATGATACTCCAGGATGAGCTGAGAGATGGAAAGTTTCCGCAAAGATTTTGCCTAACTAGTTTAACTAACTTACCTATTTTTAAACTTAATTTCTAATTATTTGGGTGACAGCTATTGCTGATGCATTAGGAAACAGAAATATTTTTCTTACTTATACCAAAAGAGCCACCTGCAGCCACGAATCCTTGTGTTAACACATGCAACCTAACCACCTTTCATCATCATTATATGAAATAGGAAACATAATCATCTCAGTGAAAAATGTTTATAAATGCACGTATGGATGTTGCTCATGCGGATTTTAATAACATGGTAATGCCTACTTACAAGGCAAGGAGAGAAGGCAAGTTTCAGTCAAGAATCATTAAGACCCATGAAAAAAAAAACAAGTAATGGAATTGTTCTTTGTGACTTATTACTAAACAAGATCCATAGCAAATTAGAATACGTAAGGTAGGCAAACAGAGAAGCACACAGATCTATCTCCTCGACCATCACATTAGCCACAGGGCATGTCCTTATTACTAAATTTTAGAGACACCCATTGAGACAAGCGTGGTAGGTAGGAAATTACAGGAAGCTAATGTAATTCTGAAGTCATAAAATATTCCATAATGGAAGGTGTTGCAAGGTAATTTTGGCACGGGCAACATTTGCTTTTATAATATGATCGTATGTTAAGGTGATTTTAAAAATCAATTTAAAAATTCATAAGACGATTTTACTCTCCTGTTACTATATGGGTTTATTATACAATCTTTCATGCGGGGATTATTTCAAGGGAGTTTATTCCAAGACAAGTGTTCTTTCAGGTCACTAAGACTGCAAAGACAGAACAAAACCCATCTTCCAAATAGACCATACCCAACATCACCCCCAAGGGGAGGCCACAGAAACCTCGCATGTCCTGCAGACCAGGCAGCTTTGACACGTGCACCTCACCCCACACAAGAAACATTTCGTAATGAGTGTCCTGATCATTTGGTGCCCCTGTGAAGAGCGACCAGCAGAAGCTGTGATCCAATTCTAAAAATAAAGCACCAAAAATATGGTCCTGGAAAATCCCTTCTGCCATCTTTTCATCTTAAGTCAAATTCCATGCCCCCCAAACACAGTGAAGTTACCCCAAACTCCATTTCGTTATCAAAAGGAATCTTGCCAATGGAAAGAAATGATATGTTACTGAAAGAATTTAAGAGAATTGTTTCATTAAAATGACAAATGCAGTGTTCAGACCTAGAACTCACTCACTTGCGGCTAGAACAAAAAGGGGGGGGGGGGGGGAAGCACACTGGCGCGGCTATTTGGACACCAACCTGGTATAGGCTGAGGTGCTAACACCACTGTGGGAAGGGGCCTGGAGGCAGGCGCTGGCCTGGACAGAGACACAGCTACTTGATTTGCCAACAAATGAGGCTTTTCATACCCATGGAACAATCTTGATTCCTCGGGATATATCCACGTTGAGTCCAGAGCAAAGGAATTATTTAAAAAGATCTGTCCAAAAAAGAAAGCAAGTGTAGCATTTCAGACCATGCACATGAGAAAGACTAAAGGCTACTGTAAAATATTTGTCTTGTCTTACATTGATCAAATATTGGAGAGTCTATAAGTGAGGACTCTATAAAAGCATCCTTCTCCAACCTAAAGATCCACGGGGCTCTAATAACGATCACCATGAAGTTACCATGATCTGCGCTGGTCTTCAACTATTGACTTGATTAATTCAGCACAGCAGCCCGTTTACAGACTAAAGAACCGTCACAAGGAGGTCCGTTGTGTGGCATAGACAAGTCACCACGTAATTTTTCTTTTCTTTTTTTAGTTTTCAAACAAAGTGTAATTAGTACATTTGAATTCAAACGCCAAAATAGACCACCAGAAGGAGGAATACTTAAAGCAATCATTGCAAGAAAAGCTCGCTTTTAAAATTTATACTTGAATTATATCATGTTTGAGGCCATCTGTTGACCCATTGTTACAGATTTGAAAACTGAACATTGTCAAGAGTAGATTCTGATTCACAATGGAAAATTCTGTATTGTGCTAGGGAATCCAAATATATCAAGCTAAAACAAAATACCATTCCCCTTCCGACCCCCCCCCCCCCCCCCCAATCTGCTGGTGTTTAACAGACTGATCTTATTCTGAAAAGATTCCTCTTTAGACCTAGAAGGTCAGTCTAGTGCAATTAGCAAAGAGAAAACACACAAAACCCATCTTCCAAATAGACCCTTCTGTTGTTATGGAAATACCCAACGACTCCATAACTGAATCCCACTTATCCAATGAAACTATTTGCATTTTTACCTTACAATTGGGTATCTGTTTGTCTATCCAACCTTTCCCAACAGGAGTGGGGAGAGCAGGTGGGCAGACATGTGGGAAGATGGGCACCAGCTCCACAGTGGAAGAGGGGGACAGTCCTATTGACGGAGAAGGGCCACCAAGTAGCCACTGAAACCCAAGAAGAGAGAAGGGAATACGTGTTAGCCCGTAGCAATCAGCTCTAGTTTGTCCCATAAGCTACTGGGGCAGCTGCTTTTTAATTTTTTTAAAGGGAATTTTAAAATATATGTATTTAATTATGAGAAAAACCTCCTCTTTCCCGTTTAAAAAAAACAACACCCACACATTTTTAAAATGCATAAGGTTTCCCATCAGAACCATCACAAAGCATTACCCACACTGCACTCTTCAATACTGAGAAAGAACTTCTACGCACAAAACCACGAGAACCCGGTAAGAAGTGGGTTTCTGCCTGAGATAGAAGGAACCACAATGGAAAGGGGAGGTGCTGGGTATTCCCTGTATGACTCGTGAATTCTTTTCATAAGCAAGCAGAGAGCTGTATGTCAGGAGAGTCCTTTCAGTATAGCATTTTGTATGAATTATACTTACCTTTTTAAAAGACAAACACAAATGATATTTTCAAAATAAAACTCATTTAGGGGTTAAGACTGAAAGTTGCCCACGGCTCACAAGTGCAAACAGATTCCAAGGCAAAGGAGACGTAAGGGTAGCTCATCAATAACCGAAGATCCCAAAGCACAGGGTCAACGAGCAAACACCGAAAGGGGCAGGCCGTCTGGGAGACAGTCTCCCTCGTTAAAATAACTGAATCTCCACGAGCAGAGAACTGATAGAATCGTGGCTCAGTGATATGGAATGCTTCCACATTGACTTCTTTTAAGATCAGAGAAGCATTTTTTAATTTTCCTGTTATGTGAAAATGTCCTTCTGGTTCTAAATATTGTCACTGAACAGAAAACATGGAGCACAAAAATATTTAAAAGAAGAAGACGATTTTTTAAAATATATTTTTAAATTTACACCCCCCAAAAATGCAGTGTTCTATATAGGGGGGGAGAAAAAAATGTAGTTCCTGGGCATTATATACCTCTAGTGGTAGCACTCTGATATAGCAATCCCCTGAAAATGCCCCAAAAAGCTACCAACCGTTTATTCAATAAAACCCAATATGAACTGCATTGCACATCAAAATAGATATCTAGGACTGCATATGTGATGTATCATTAGGTCTAAAGATCAGTGTGGGCGGAGTTTAACAACATCTTTAAGGAAAGCTCACAAGATACCATAGGAATAAAATTAATTAAATGGTGGATTCTAACATACCGCTTATTTGAATATGCTAAGGAAGACTATCCTTGGAATAAAATGCGTTTTCCCCTGATTTAAATTCATCTGCATAGTTAGGTAGCAAACAATGGATCTTGCCAAAACCAGCCTGCCTTGCTCGGTTGCACCATTAATCAAAGGTAGAGTCACTTTTCCTTTTTAATTCCAGGCTTTAAATGCCAAAGTATTCCAAAGTGCAGTATGGCACTAGCTAGCTAATGAGGCGGGCTCGGGTGGACCTAGTTTGGGGGTGGGGGGCGGCGGTTTATCACCGGTAACATTTCTCGGTATTAAAGGCAGGGTTTCCCTGCAGCTTCCATCGGTTTGAATTCTCTTCAGCATTGTCCTGAGTCTATTTTCACATAGAAAAAAAAAACCCAACCAGATCAGCATCAGAAATAGCTATTGATTCCCAGCCTGCTTTTCAAGTCTGGCAGAGACTGTAAAAGTATTAACTTCTCTGCGATAAGCCGGCCACGCTGCGCAGCTGCCACGCCGGCTCCCACGGCGGCGACTTCAGCACCGCTCTCTGGACAGCGACCCCGGCCCCGCGAAAGTTGTGGCCACCTCGGTCCCAGCTCAGGCCTTGGGGCGCTGGTCCCTAAAATGCTTGGCTGGGAGACCGCGGGAAAGACTGAAAGACTGCCGGGGGGCAGAGCGGGGCGGCAAGGCATGAACTTTGTGGCCGATGCACGGCTGCCAGGCTGGTGCTGTTGGTTGGCGAGCCTGGACCACCAGGCGGAAGAGCACGAGCCCCAGGCCGGGGCCGCCCGGGCCAGCGAGAGCCGCGCCTGGGGCAGGGGCGCTCGGAGACCAGAACCCGAGACCGGGGGCGGGGGCGCGTTACCTGCCCGTGGAGCAGCGGGTAGTAGTGCGCGGCGGCGGCGGCGTGGTCTGGCGCAGAGGGCAGCGGCACCAGCGGCAGCAGAGGCTCGCCGGGGGCTTGCCAGCCGGGCAGCCCCGGGAGCAGCGGAGCGGCGGGGGGCTGGGCCGCTGCGAGCAGCACGGGCGGGGGCGCGACCCCAGCGCCCAGCCGGAGCAGCCCGGTCGAGCCGGGGACCATCCAAACCCAGGGCGGCGGCGGCGGCGGGTCTGCATTCATCGGCCAAAGGAGAGGCTGCCGCCGCCGCCGCTGGAGCCTGGCGCCCACCAGCATCCTACATCCCCGCGCGGGCGGCGGCGGCGGGGGCGGCGGGCGGGCGCCGGAGGTGCGGCCGGCCACAGCACGGGCTCCGGAGCGAACTCACTTGGTTCCGCGGCGCCGCCGCTCGCTCCGCCCCTGCCCCGCGCGGAGAGCCCCTCCTCCCGCCCACCGTCCTCCCCTCCGAGCGCGGCCGCCGCGCAGCCACCGCCCCCCGGACCTCAGCCCGGGCCCCGCCCGCCCGCGCCCCCAGACTCCCGGCCCCCGCCTGACCGCCCGCACCCCTCCCGGGCTCGGCGCGCCCGCGCCTCTGGACCCCTGGGGGGGCGGGCGGGGGCGCTGGGAGCTGAGGGCGCGCCTGGCCGGGATCCCGCGGATGGCGCCCCCGGGCTCTCGGGCGGCCGCTGGAAGCCGCTGGCCCTCGCAACGGTGCGCAAAGCGCTGGAGCCCGGAGCCGGAATCCACGCGCGGTGGCGAGCCGAGGCCCAGGTTGCCGCGCACAAGCCGGGCACGTCCTGCCTCCGGGACCGCGCAAGGTCCTCTCTGCCTGACTTTACTTGGGTCAAGGGCGCAGGGCCCGAGGGCGTGCTGCTTGCAGACCCCGACGCTAGGCGGCGCTGATTGCCGCTGGGGATGAGCAGATTTCTCTTGGGAAAATGTGCCAAACACTTTCCTAAGCCCCCAGCGGGTCGGTCCTCTTTCCACGCGGCCTCTACCCCACGCTCCACTAACTTCTGTGCAACGCACCAGGCAGGTCGCCTCCGGGCCTTTGCACAGGCCTTTGCCCTGGTTCCCGCGAGAAGCCCACTGTAAACTAGTCGTGGGTTCCCGCAGGCACAGAACTGTGCTCCTCCTCTCCCCACCGCACGCGGCCCCTGCAGTGCACCGTGAGCTGCCTGGGGCCAAGGACAAACCCTTCCTCGGACCCTGGCTGGCCCACAGCCTGGCTCAGCGCTGATCCAGAGCCATCACCGCCAGGCGGCGAGCTTTCCAATAGCTCCTGCGACCTCCCTCCTGCCACAGACCGGGTCCCTGGGAGGCCCAATCACTTGCTTGTGATATCCTCGCAGCAATAGCAGCTCTGGGAACCTCGCCCAGTCATGGACGACTTGTGCTGGGGCAGGATGGAGACTTCGCGTGCTAATTAGGTCCTCTGGTCGCTAAGTGGAGAAGCCCAACCAGTTACCTGCAGCTCAAGCCCGGTGCTTCTTGGGAGGCCTGGTGAAGGGCTCCCTGCTGCTCCAAGAAGAAGGAGTGTTATGAGGCTTGCATTCAAGAGCATGTAGAAAAAACCCGCTCTGACCTGGGCGGGACAGCATGCATTCACCTGCCTGCCCCCACCGACACACCTGGGACTCTCCAAACACGTGCTCCTAATCACCTCTGACCTGGTCCACACCGCCCTCCCAGGTACAAACTAAGCCACCTGAGTCCGTTCCATTTTCTTCCAGGGATGTTTCCACATAACCCTAATTTGCTGAATTTCCTCCTGCTCTGGCGGGATTTCTTTTAGATCTGGGCATATGTTAATTTGCATAGCTGGCATCTCCATATTTTTCTCCATTTTTCAATTAGCAACTTTCTCTCTTTCTTTGATGCAAAAGTACTGGCAAGATTTTGTTGTGTTTTTTTTTCCCCCCTCACCTAAAATCAGAAAGCTCAGCAGATTTGAAGCCTGTTACTATTCAACTTAAGCTTTTAATTCATGTGCCTATGTTTGTAAGTGCCCACAAAGGTGATGTGTCTTAACCTTGATGGGCACAGCCAGACTAAGGTATTGAGGAGGCATCTTTATGCAGGTAATGGGGACCCCTGTTTGAGTAAGCGCTATTTACCCTTCTCCATTGTTTGGAAGCTGGGCCTGGGGACCAACCATGGCAAAGCCCGGCTTGCATGGTGCTCTCTGCAGAGCGTGCTACACGCACTGACCCCACGCTCCCGGGAAGGCGGGGTTCAGCCATCTGTGGGAGCTTCCTCAGGCACTGGCGGGGGTGTCTCACCCCATCCCCACACAGCTCTGTCCTTGGAGTGGTTTTGCTAAAGTCCGCGTTTGTCAACCGGTGATCCATGTTCCCTCCCTGGCTGCCCTGGGTGTGCCCCGGGCGCAAGGCGCCTTGGGCAGCTGCTTGACTCGCGCCGAGGCAGAGCTGGAAGTGACGAGTGACTGTTCGTTCACTCAGAGAACCTCAAAGCGGCCACACTCCTCTGCCACTTCCTGCCGCGAGCCTCACTGTATTCACTTGACACAGTGCTTTGGGCCTCTTGGCCATACCTGCTGCCACTAATTCTAGGGACACATGCAGGGCGGTTTCCACGACGAAGTGAGACGATGGGGCACCCAGGGTAAGGGCTCTTCCCCTGCTTCTGGCTCTCATTTCATCTCAGGGACCCTCCCCCCACCACCACACACCCAGGAACAGCCCTACACCCCCGTGGATGGGAGACACGCATCCCCACGGGGATTTTAGTGACTCGGAACAAGAAGCACTGCTCCCTCTGAGGACCAGAGATGGGAGCCAGCCCATCTGTGAGCAGAGGTTCGGTGCCAGGCAGACCTGTGCTGCTGGCTGGCAGGTCTACTGACCTGCCAGCACCCCCACGGGTCAGACCTGGGCAGGGCCCGGGCTGGTGCCCCATACACTCGGATAATAAATCACAGTGAGAAGTTTTCTTTATAAAGAGCTTTCTACACAATCGAGTCTTAAGTTCTCCTAACCAATGAAAACAACCTAAAGTCTGTCCATATTATTCAGGCGACACCAGCAGAAATCCCAGCCGAGGTGAGAATAGCACCTAAGCAAGCGTAGATCCATGCGTGAACAGCTACACATGCTAATTGTTGTTACCTTTGGGGAAGAAATAATGTTGGGTGTTAGGGAGAGATCAGCGACACACGATTTTGCAGCCTGTAGGTTTTTCTTTCAAATTATTTTACTCTGTTGTTTTAAGTAAAATATAAGAATCAGAAGGAGAGAGAGATAAAAGTGCTGCTTTTTCAGGCCTGCGGAGTTAAAATAAACCCAGGGGAATGGGGGGGGGGGGGGTCAAGAGGTCACCTCAGGAGTGCCCTGCTCCGCCCACACCGCCAGAACTACTTTCGGAGCAAATGCTGACCCTGCTGGGTTCTTCACTCCTGAAAAATCTCCAACTGTGGGACCAGGAGCCCTGGATGGAAGCCACGCAGGCAAGCGGGAGGCGTCTCCGCGGGAGGAGGCAAGTTGGCAGTTGGATACCTGACTCATCAGAGTGAGGAGATGAGTGGGAGCGAATCCCACAGCTCTGCTCAGCTTGGAGTAAGCGCAGCCAAGCACCCCTCCCCGCGTGAGGAGCCTTGGTGGTGGGGGGGGGGGGGGCAGAAAAGAGAGGAAGGCTCGTTGTGGTGACTCTGAAGGCTCGGGGCCACCTGGGTCACAGTGGAAGCTTCATTCTGGGGCTCAGGGCACAGTCTTGGATGGAGGTACAGAACTGGAATTAGCACAAGAATTGAGTGGGACAGCTGTCCCCTGTCACGGAAATCCAGGTGTGGACAGATCACCTGGCCAGCACAGATTGGGAGAGGAGAGGCCATCCATGGGGCCCGGAAATGGGAGCATAGAAAGGTAAAGCGAGGCAGGCGGTGGCCACGACACCAGTGTGGACGGACGGGAGTGCGCTGGTCTGATGAAGGGCCGCGTTGTCACTTTATTGGCCGCGTGTTACGGCAGCGTGTCTGGAAGGCGCAGGAAGCACGGTGAATCGAACTCGGGCAGGGAAACAGGTGTGGACCTTCGGGGGCCTCCCATCCACAGTATTTTTTTTCTATTAATCTCTCTCCATATGTAAGATGATAAATATGTTGTATAGATTAGACATTAGTTATTAGTTATCTAATAACATTGCATTTATAATGAATAGTTTTAATTCCAGCTTGTCCTATGCAGACCTTTAGATCTTATTTTTCACTCAATATCATAGCAGGAGGGTATCTCCTCATTTTGAAAGTTTCTAGGAGGACCCCCCTTATCAGAGGCAGAATAATACCTCACTGGGGACATGCAGGAGTTCAGGCAAATGCGCTTCTACTGGAAATTCAGTAGCCCACTGTGGACAGACGGACCACGGGGACACCCCACCCCACAGCCTGTCACACAGTCTACAGTGTCTGTCTGTCCATCACCTTTCTGTCTGTTCTCTCAGACAGACACAGAACGCCCTGCGCGCTGGAATGCGTAGAGCAGCGGTTCTCAACCTGTGGGTCGCGACCCCTTTGGCGGTAGAACGACCCTTTCACAGGGGTCGCCTAAGACCATCCTGCATATCAGATATTTACATTATGATTCATAACAGTAGCAACATTACAGTTATGAAGTAGCAACGAAAATAATTTTATGGTTGGGTCACCACATGAGGAACTGTATTTAAAGGGCCAGAAGGTTGGGAACCACTGGTGTAGAGGTTGTGTGGAGCAGAGTCAGGTCGCTGTCAAATCCGACCCCACGGGCAGTGGCTGGGCTCCCAGTGAAGGACGAGGCAGAGGCCCGTTGGTGGGAATTGCCATCATTCCTGTCCCTGTGGGGAGTCACGTTGGCCGTCACTCAGCCTAATTGCACGTGGCCGTGCCACATGCTGACATGTAAGCGAGGCCACGGCTGGACACGTGTTATGACAAATCCGCTAATTGGAAATAATTCAGGAGCGGCGGCTGGGGCTGGCGTGGAGGAGGGTGGGGGTGATGGATGCAGTTCCAACGCCATCTCGCTGTGATGATGTCACAGGAGATCGAGGGAAGCCCCGCGGAGTCGGCCGCAGAGCAGGCGAGACCCTGGCAATGAGCACTGAAGGCATCCATTTCTCTCTGCAGCTCAGCACTGGCTGCACCTCCCCGATTCCAACCAGGTTCAAATTAGCACCAACTGCAAAGGTCAAGGTCTGATCTCATGATGTAGCTCCAGGCGCCTTGGTGAGTGGCACCAGGAGAGCAGATCTGCGGGAGACGCCGGCTGGGAAGCGGGGATCCTGGCGGTTCGCACCTGCCTGCCTGT